GATGATGGGTGTGTGAGTGTGGGATGATGTGTGTGTGTGCTGGATGATGGGGGTGTGTGTGCTGGATGATGGGGGTGTGTGTGTGCTGGATGATGGGTGTGTGTGTGCTGGATGATGGGTGTGTGAGTGCTGGATGATGGGTGTGTGTGTGCTGGATGATGGGTGTGTGTGTGCTGGATGATGGGTGTGTGAGTGCTGAATGATGGGTGTGTGTGCTGGATGATGTGTGTGTGAGTGCTGGATGATGGGTGTGTGTGTGCTGGATGATGATGGTGTGTGTGAGTGCTGGATGATGGGTGTGTGTGTGCTGGATGATGGGTGTGTGAGTGCTGGATGATGGGTGTGTGTGTGCTGGATGATGGGTGTGTGAGTGCTGGATGATGGGTGGGTGGGGGAGCATTTTTTTTTAAACTTTATGTGTATGTATATTTTTTATTTTATTCCCCCCTCCCTGCTTCTTACCTTGTCAGGGAGGGGGGAGATCGCCTGGTGGTCCGGTGGAGGGAGCCAGCCGCTGCACAGAGGGGCCATCACACGCTGTGTTCCCTTCTCCAGCTCTAACTCTCGCGAGACTCGCCTGTGCGGAGCGTTGCCATGGTAACAGCCGCGGGTCTCGCGAGAGTTATAGCTGGAGAGGGAACACAGCGTGTGCTGGACCCTCAGTGCAGGTAGCAGGGCCGGTCCTGCAGGACAGGTAACGGGAACGGCGTTCCTGCTTTGGAAAAAGTGCAGGAACGCCGTTCCCACGCGTTCCTGCAGGACTCGAGCCCTGGGTAATTTCTGCTGCTACAGTGGTATTAGATTGTATGTTATCACTTCCTATGTGTCTTATCCCATTGTAAAACCCACTCCGTATATTGCTTGAAACTTTAAAGCCAAGATATATTTTGCAATATTTCAAAGTAGGAATTGTTCTATTCCCTCTTACTATCTTCTCCTAATACTTTTCCTTCTTTATATGTATGGAGATATTTTGGACACATTCAGCAGCACTGTGCAATGTGTGAAACCACATTCGCAATTGTATCAATATGTTACATATTTAATCGCCACACAACCACATACGTGTACCTTGCAAATAATTGTGGCGCTAGAAGACAAAAAATGTCACTTCTCCACAATTCCCAGTTTAGGGATTAAAGAAAAACTTTTTTTTAATATTATTATACTTTCATGAAGTATTGAAAGGAAATAAATGGGTTATCACTTCATTTAAAAAAAAAGTCTATTTCACTTCAATACTTGAAAGGCGTATTCTATTGAAAATAAATTTGAAGGGACAGTTATCCTTTAAGGCCCACTGTGTTTGAACTTCCTACGAGATGTGAAAATGAGAAACAAATACACAGAAAGCAGGATTCTTAAGATTTCTGTGACTTCTGGATATACAAAATCCTCTCATAGCAAATCTGCATTAAGTGCTGGTTTGGAAGGCTGATTTTAATTGAATTAGGTGCCTTTATAATCTGCACATTAAAGGTTAAGCTCTGCTTCCATGGAAACATCACACCGGGAAGAAATTCACAATGAAAAACAACTTCAGAAAATGTGTTCTGGTAACTCATTCCATTGCCCAGTCTCTTGTTATATAACGTTACAGAACAATGCCTGTGAAGACATGTTTTCATATAATCCTTAATAAATTGCAATGGCCTACTGCAGTGAACCAGTAAAAGAAATAAACCACACCTCTGGAGCTACAGACAGGAGCCCTGTGCCAATGTAGATGTATTGTAGTCATATGTGAATGGGTAGTGGCTTTTTTACAGCCCGATATTTTCAGAATGTAAGGATCTTCCTTTCAGTTGTGAATGAGTTATGCAGCCAACGATACACCTTCAGGGTTACACCCTAAAGTGTACATTGTTGAAAATTCAATGTGCATTTAAACTTTTATGTTAAAATAGTTCAAATAGAAACACAGCTAATATGGAAAAAAAAATTGTCTTGTCTTTAAATTCTTGACAAGACTTTTGTGATTAAAAAAAAAACAATTACCGGTATAAAGAAAAATAGAGAGAACTAAATTGTGGAATGTCATTAGTGTAGCCAGAGGTGGATTACCCATTACACAGCCTTTGTGGCCACCTAGGGCCCAGGCTTTGGCAGTGGCCCTCTATTTGGATGTGGATGTGAGGGGACTCTCTGTAAGCCGTCAGGGAGATTAGTAGATCTCCTTTTTGGCCCTGTGCTCCCTCATTTATTTAAGGGAGCATTGCGGGCTGCACCAAATCAGTGCAGACCACTTTAAGAGCTCCCTCGTGGTCCAATGGAGTCATTGAGCGCCAGAGCTCATAAGGAAGCACTTAAAGTTGTCGGCACTGGATATTGTGTCCTCCCTCACAGTACCACAAGGGAAAAGAAAGCAGGAGAGGGTAAAACACACACACACAACACTCAACCTGCACATACAGGCACATTCAGCCTCCCCACATACAACTCTCAGCCTCTTCCACACATGTAACACTAAGCCACTACACACACTCTCACACTCACAAAAAAAGCCCGGGGCCCCAATCTGTCAGCCTACCAAGCACCCTGGGCAAGTTTAATCGTCCTCTGTCTATTTCTATAGACAATAAAACCAACAGCACTGTGCTGTTTCTGGAAAAATAAAAAGAAACTGGGAAACAGAGAGAGGTTTTAGAAATTCTAGAAAATGTTTTAAGAGGTTTTTATATATATATATATACATACACATAGTCATGGGGGTAAAAAAGCACTCCATCTTTGAATTCTATGGTTTTACATATCGGGACATAATTATCAACTGTTCCTTAGCAGGTATTAAAATGAGGTAAATACAACCTTTGATGAACAACAACACATGACATATCAGACTGTGTCATGATTTATTTAACAAAAATAAAGCCAATATGGAGAAGCTAAGGAAAAACTAAGTACACCTTATGATTCAATAGTTTGTAGAACCACCTTTAGCAGCAATAACCTGAAGTAATCGTTTTATGATTTTATCAGTCTCCCACATTGTTGTGGAGGTATTTTGGCCCACTCTTCTTTACAACATAGCTTCAGTTCATTGAGCTTTGCTAACATTTGTTTATGCACAGCTCTCTTAAAGACACGCCACAGCATTTCAATTGGGTTGAAATCTGGACTTTGAATGGGCAATTGCAGCACCTTGATTCCTTTCCTTTTTTGTAGACATTCTGTTGTAGATTTGTTGTGCTTGGGATCATTGTCCTGTTGCATGACCCAATTTCTACCAGGCCTGAGCTGTTGCTGTTGGACAGATTGCCTCACATTTGACTCTAGAATGCTTTTATATACAAAGGAGTTCATGGTCAACTTAATAACTGCAAGATGCTCAGGTCCAATGGCTGCAAAACAAGCACAAATCATCACCTCTCTACCACCATGTTGGATAGTTGGTATGAGTTGTTTGTGCTGGTATGCTGTGTTTTTGGTTTTCGTCAAACAATTTTTCTGAAGGTTAATTATGGGTGAACTAGCTGTAACATCCACTTCTGGAAAGATTTGTAATTGTCTTGAATGTTTTCCAATTTTCCAATTTTGAATAATATTTCTCACTGTACAATGATGGATTTTGCAATGGCGTTATAACCCTTCCCTGCTTGATGGGCAGCAACAATTGTTTCTCTAAGATTATTGCTGATGTCTTTCCTCCTTGGCAATGTGTTAGCACACAACAGACCAGCAAATTGCTAAAACCTCTGCTTTTACACTTCCTGATGATCAATAAATCAAGGGTATTTGAGGGCACCTGTCTGCTGCTTAGCCTCTCAATTCCTACAGAAGCAGTAAAGGTGTATTTTGGCTTTATTTTTGTTAACTTAATCATGACACGATGTAATGTCATTTGTTGTAGTTCATCTGAATTTTCCTAATTTGAAGACCTGCTAAGTAAGGAACAGATGATTGTTTCAAATTATCCCCCAAACCTCTGCTCAGCTGCAGTTTATGAGATACGTAGTCCAGCACTTGGCAGCAATTGTATTTATCACACAAAATGAATGAAACTGATACTTATGCTGATAGCATTTTAATTGCAAGGCATAGCAACATAATGTTACAAGATTTTAGCTCAGCCTTAAGGGCAACAACCCTCATTTCATAGTATTTGTAGTCTGATATCATGACAAAGCCTGAAGGCAATGATGGCCTGACTCTTGAGAACAATAGAGATTGAAGATTTATTGTCAAGATAGTTTACAGTAATATCAAGTATTTTTGAAACCAGGAATTCTGCCTCAGGATCATTTAGCTTGCAATGGCAGCTGGACATCCAGCCATTAATTTTATTTAGGTATATTCTGAGAAGAGCCTGAGGCAATAGACAGGTATAAATGTTGAGATTGTCAGAATATGTATGGTATTACATGTTGCTCTTCCTGAATAACTAAATTCATGGAGGAAGATAATGTTTGAATAGAGTGTGAGGGAGAACTTATCCGAATAGGAGGTCCCCTCAAGGGAATTTTATTGGCGAACCAATTCTATAATTGAATTTGTTTATGTTTGAGCAAGAAACAAAACCATAATTGTGCCAAGGCAGAAATGTTAATGCTCTCTTAATGCTCTCTGTGAGACATTTTATTTTGCAATAAGTTGCCAAAAAAAGGTCCAAAAGGCCCAGAAGAGATAAACTGCCTTGGTCATCTGTTTCCATTATTACATGAACGATAAGTCTCATTGAGCCTTTCTGGACTCCACCATCACTGCACTGGTATTTGTTCCTGGATGGCTATCTCCATGCCTTTGGCTCTGGTTAAAAGCCAATATATGTTTAGTTTTAGGGAGGTAGTCAGTCACCTTGATCTGTACAGTATGTTCCAAAGTAAAATACACATTATTACATTTTATGGTACTTAAATGCATATAAATACTTCTCTATTAGTGCAGAATGTGTGAGGGTC